TGTCTAGTGTCCGTCCATGCAGCTAGTCGACTGGAGAACATGCACAATGGAGAGTAACCTTTGTCAATACAAGTTTTGATCGAATTCGATATTACAGGTTGGCCACATGTATATCACTCTGAATGAAATAGATTCCAGATGTACTTCGAAGGTGGAAGATTTTAAAACGTCGGAAGCTAAATGATTGCTGGTTTGGCCACTTTGAACGGGCAGTGGTGTAGATTACATTGTATAACAAAATTAGGATTAAATATTCTAAGTCTTAGTGAGAATGCTGCAATTGTAATTGTATAGACGACAGTTTTTCGATCATCTGGCTGGCTTTGTGCATGATGGATTGGCGTCCAACAGGATGACCATCTTGCTGCATAGCTAAGATCCAGGTGACCAAGTCCGCCTCGTACGATGGTGGCAGGATGGGCATTGGTCCCAACATTAGACAGATTTCGGAGATGCATCCCGTGCCGGTGCCGTATCTGTATCCTGTACATATTTATATATTTGGCAACTCTGAAAATGCAAGTGGGATGCCGCCAAAAAGTCCGATTTGGCGGCAAGTTTCACCTTTGCCGTGTCCGGATACATTCTCTTTTTGTTCTGCCACGCTCACTTCCTTCACGGAACGAGGATGGCCGAGGCTGCCGAGGACTCCACCGAAACACTCGACAAGAAGTGGTGGTCTGAGGACGACGACATCTTGCTGCTAACGCAGGCCAACAACGATCGGCCGTTCTTGCAACGGCAAGCCACAAAGGCATGGGAGGCCATGGCGTTGACACTGCGTGGGGTCGATGAGTTTAACCAGCAAGGAATCGACGGGAAATAGGCCCAAAACCGCTTCCTTCTGTTGATGCACCAACACAAGACGCGGAACGAAACGGCGGCTCGGCTGTCAGGTGCCGCGGAGGAGGAGACAGTGAAGTCCCGACTGCTTGATGACTTGGCGTCGCTGTTCAATGACGCTCTTGTGAAGCGCAAGGAGGCTGCGGCTGTTGTGGATGCTGCCGAGAAGGCAGAAAAGGTCAAGTTTGTTCGTGAGCAAGCAATGCAACGTGGACGTCGCCAGTCTGTCTCGGACTCTTCTGATGTTGCGGAACCTATTGTCACCAGCAAGCGAAAGATGATCATGGATGCCCATGAGATGGAAGTCGCGCTGGAACTAGAGAAATTTGAGTTCAAAAGACTCAAGTTCGAGCGTGAGCTGGAAGAGCGTGCCAAGGGCCGCGAGGAGCGTGAAAAATAACGAATGGAACGTCAACAAATTCGTGAAATGGAGATCCGTCGAAATGATGAGATGATGAGGATTATTAACCATTTCATTCATAAAGTTCAATCCAGTTAACATGATGACAATGAACAAGTAATGTTAACTTTATCCAATTGTCAAGTACTCTTTAAGTGATGGTGGCTTCAATTGGAAGTATTGGCTGATTTGATTTTCGCCCTTGCAGCATGTTTGGCAATTAGTGAACAACATCGCCAGGCAAATTGACTTTCCGACTATTTGCAACAATATCTTTTGTTGCATTTGTACGTCACCAAAACGCCCACTTTGACTTCATTTGGCAAAAGCTCCATTCCACAGCTTGACGAACTCGGCTCATCGATGCGTTGAAGTCCTTTTGGCCTGGCTCGACACGTTACCGCTGCATATCCACCAGAGCACGCCATACGCAGGATCCCGGTAGATCAAATGGGACCCAAAGAGCTCTGCATGACCATCCAAAGAATCCATGAGCTTGCTCTCCCACAACAAAGTCGTGTCGTGCCTTGACCCCTCGATAGACCCCCAGAAATGAATGCAGAGTCCATCGGGAGCAGAAATGCTTGAACATTCAAGCAATGGCGTCGCTTGTGCCCATTATAAATCAACCGCTGCAAATCATTGAACTCTGCGGCAGTTGAGTTCGCTCGACCACGCTTCTATGTAATACGGCACGTTTCGACTTTCGAGCCATCGATGAAACCAAAAATATTTTCCATGGCTGAACCCTTCAGAGCAATGGACGCAGAATAGGCTCTCAGACCGCACAACATCCAAACAAAAGAACACATGTTCTTCCGATTGTGCAAACAGTACGTCCACCACAAAGTTGAAAATAAGACATAGGGACTCCCGCGATCAGCCAAATGATTGCATCATGTCATAGTATCGTCGCGGGTAGGATAGACGGCTCAGCACAACACACAAACTTT